TAGGCCCAAACCCTTCAAAATCTTTCTTAATTTCCATACTAATTCTCACCCTTTTTACCACAGGGTTGGCACTAGAAGCTTCCTTGGGGTCCATGGTGACTCATTTTGCAGTTACAAGCACTAAAAACACTGGGATAAGGTGAAACGTACCAAATGTATGCGTAAATGCGACCGCACTGGCTGGCTTGTAAACACTGGCCACATATGAACAGGTCCCGGATGAATCACGTTGGGCGAGTCTTTTATCATTAGCTGGGGCAAAATTTTGACGCTCAAATGCTTCGTTAAGCGGATTTAACGTTATGCGATGCGTTCGTCAGGCAAGGGTCCACTGTATCTCCTACGAGACTGAAACATCATCATAAGTTTCATTCTCTTACGTGAGGTTATCTGTGTATTGTTCCAGTCATGGTATTGTGCCTTTATTCTTTATGAGCTATCATTTAGGTTGTATATATAACCTAAGTACAGCAAAGAATAAATTATTTTATACAAACTTATTTTGGGAGATACTGTATAAGGAAAATGAATATATTTACATATTTAGGGTACACAAATAACCCGCATATAGGAGAGAGGAACTTACGACGACATTTCGGTCTGACTTGGACCATTTATAAAGTCACACTAACAAAAACGAAAGAAGGAGGGAGTACATATAGGCCAGCAGACATTGACGAGAACAAGAGAGGAAGAATTAAAGAAGGAAGAGAGGTAATAGTAGTAGTGGAGTCAGTCAAATACTAAGAAAAAGGAGCACTGCAAGGGAGCTAGGGGCCCATAGGGTAGGAACAAGAATACAGAGGGGGAGAAAATAATAATGATTGACAAAATACCTAAGGCAGAAGAAAGAAAACCCAAAGGGGAGAGAGGAAAGAGGAAAGGAAAAAAGGGAGCATTTTATATTGTAAAATGTTCCAAACTTCAGAAAACCCATGATTTAACCTGATTCTTTTTTCCCCTTCTCCCTTCTTCCCTTTCCTCTTTGGGTTTTCTTTCTTCTGCCTTGGGTATTTGGTCCATCATTATTATTCCCTCCCCCCTCTGTGTTCTTGTTCTTACCCTATGTGGGCCTCTAGATCCCTTGCAGTGCTTCTTTTTCTTAATATTTGACTGACTCCTCTACTACTATTACTTCTACCACTACCTCTCTTCCTCCTTTAATTCTTCCTCTCTTGTTCCCGTCAATGTCTGCTGGCCTATATATACTCCCTCCTACTCTCAGTTTTGTTAGTGTGACTTTGTAAATGATGAGTCAGACTGAAACGTCATCATAAGCTCCTCTCTCCTATGTGCGGGTTATTTTTGTATTGTTCCAGTCGTGGTATTGTGCCTTTTTTGTTATGTATTTAGGCTACAAGCACACTGAGGCATGTTTCATGCTTGGCCAGATATAAACAAAGACAGGTGGCATTTTCTGATTTATTTAACCTAACCAGACATTACCTTACCATACTTTAACTAAACATACCCTAACTGATTTTTGTCAAATAAAAATTTGCACAAGGTATACTTACTTATTCCATAATCTTCACAGATTGTACATGTTTATGTCAGTGGCATAACTAGGAGAGCAAAGGGAACAACTGCTCCCCCTGAGCACATTTTTCAAAAGTGGTGCCTTTTCAATAATTTTTTAAATCTTTAGTTCACTTGTACCAATGACATGTGTTCCATTTATCCTAACTTGTCCACACTGCACCATTTTTCTGACCTTACCAATAACTCCTGCGTGTGGACTGATGAAGCCACTGTGTGGCGAGGCGTTTCCTCAGTAGGGATGCCCAAGAGTTGCACATGTGTCTAATTTATCAACATGTCGGTTCTCTGAACCATTCATCTACAAAGTTTATGCATAATTGAGCACAGCTTCCCGGGAATCTGGAGTAAATGTTGCCAGAATCTGGACGGGAATTATAAATAAAACGTTTCCTCCTATAAATATCTCTCGCGGTATGGTTTTATGGAGATGTTAATAACATAAAATACAGTGTGTACAGCTACAAGGCCATACACTGGAACATTACAACTCAGTGTCCAAACATCCAATTTTCCAAACACACCTCAATGCAAACCTTACAGGATATGACAAAACACATTCATAATAATAATAATATCTTTATTTACTACAAGTACATGTACAAAGTATGCACGCCTAGCGGACATAAATAACATACTACTATATAGAAAGCCGCTCGTTATGCAGAGCAGTATAATGGTACCGGGAATCCTTCACTTACTTAACCCTTAGGCACGACCTACTTCCACATTTGACAAATGTGATACCACCTATGACTGTTGCACCTCTCCTGCCTACAGTATATAAGCTACTTCTTCGCACATATACTGTATTCTTTTCAAGACTGATGGACTGACCACATCGACTCGAGGCTGAAGGACCGATTACCTCAAACTCCCGTTTTTCACCGTTCTCCTGCATATGGACTGATGAAGCCACTGTGTGGTGAAACGTTTCCTCATTAAAGATACCCAAGTGTTAAAAAAAAAAAAAAACTAGCGTAGTTGTGGAACGATCCTTTAGTCAGCTCAAAGACAAAGTCCTACCTTCTTTCTACAATAGGCAAGGATAGATTGTCTTGGTTAACTTTGCTCTCCACTGAAAGAGTTGGCTACTGAGGTGGATTATAATAAAGTAACAGATAACTGGTAGAATTAAGTCTAGATGAAAGCGACTGTTGTCGTTGCTTCATACCTTTTTCACATTGCTTCATTTTTTTTTTTCATTTTATGATTAAATTTAAAATAATTAAATAACACACGCTTTTATTAGGCTTTGAGATTAATGAGTTTACTATAAAACTTTATTGTTTTGATTTTAAATACAAAATAACAATTATGTACTTCATTGTTTTGATTTTAAAAACAAAATAAAACCGTACAATGAATTTAAAATTATTTGGTACATGTTATAAGTAAGTTTATTCAGGTATACACAAATACAGTTACATAGAATTATCATACACAGCAGCATATGTGTAGAGAACCTAGGATAACCCAAAAAAGTCAGACAGAGTGACTTATTTCCATTGGGGTCCTTTTACCTTATTATTATAATATGAAGGTTATATTATTTTCTTATTATTCTACAATGAAGATAACATCTTATTATCATACTAAAAAGACTATCTACTACACCAAGGTCATTAAGACTATCTACAATACGAGGGTCATTACTAGGAATATGGTAAAATTTACACGTATGTTAGCTAAAAAATAGAAAATCATTCCCCTCCCTTTCTGTAGCTACATTCATCAGACACCTTTTGGCACTCTTCTTGAACTGGTTCATACTATGACTGGCTTTGACATGTGCGGGCAGTCTGTTCCATTCCTTTATTGCTGTACAATAAAAGGTGTTTGAAGCCTGTCCAATGACTGTGGGTACTACAAAGTTGTGCTCTCTCCCCCTAGTACTATGATTGCTTTGGTTCCCAACCTTGACAAAATTGACAGCAAGATATTCTAGACATTGTTTGTGAGCAATTTTATAAACTTGATTTAGCTTCAGTTGTTTTACTCTGTCTTCCACATTCAGCATATCCAACTGCTGTAATTCATCCTGGCCTACATGTTCTCTTGGTCCCAGCCCCAGGATGAATCTTACGATTTTGTTCTGGGTGATTTGCAGTCTATCTTTCAGTTTTTTTGTCAAGGCAGAGTACCAAGAAGAGCAAGCGTAATCCATATGGCATTGTATTAGGGCTAGACATAGGGTCCTGCAAGCCTCAGTAGGTAGACACTGTGCTTGTCTATATAGGAACTTCAGTCTGGCATTCGCTTTCTTTACTACACTGTTCCCTATCAATTCTCCTGACATGCATGGGTCAAAGGGGATTCCCAAATATTTTACTGATGAAACCAAAGTGATGGGCTCCCCATTACATTGAACATTAAAATTATTTACCCTTCTCAGTTTATGTTTCGTGCCAAAGAGAATGGCTTCAGTTTTCCCTAGGTGTAATGATAGTTTGTTGTCTACTAACCATTTGCTGCAGGACTCCAGTTCCAGTGTTAAAACATTAGCAATATCTTGTGGGTCTTTACCTGATACTAACAGAGCACTGTCATCTGCATACAGGAGGAGTTTGCACTTGACACTGATAGGCATATCATTATGGCCCCTTTTTTGTGCGCGCGCTTGCTCCCCCTAACTTTAGAACCTGGCTATGCCACTGGCTGAAGTGTAAAATAACGATAGAGTTCTACCGAGTAGTTGTCGGTAACTATAGCCATTCTTTAATACTGTACTAGGATTACTATTATATATTAAAAGGAAACAGAAGTGTGATTAGGTTAGTGATGTGGTTAGTGAAGAACCAGTGTAGTTATTAACAAGAAAGCATATGTGAAGGTAATCAGTACAGTCTATTGTACTATGTATAATTACCAGATTAAGTTATTAATGTACTGTGGCGATACCTGTGATTAGCTCTGACAGTGTCATCACAGTGCCACATCTACCTAGTGCCATTCACATGGTGTTACTACAGGTACAACTTTCACTTGGTGCCATTACCTATCTGTGTCAAGAAAGACAACTTATTCACTTGGTGCCACAAATGCTGACACCTACCTGGTGCCAACATCAATATAGTGTCACCAGTGCCAACACCTTCATACTCGGGAAATTCAGATTCCTCACACGGAAACCAATAAAAACTTAACAATATGCCTATCAACTTTTTTTTTAACTCCTTTAATAATGGCCTAAAAATCACAAAATATAACATCCTTGAAAATCGAAAATGTTAACAAATTATAAACATAAATGCATTAAAATCAGAATAAGAGAAGCCAAGCATTTACCAAACGACCTGGTAACAGAGGACTTGAGGCGATTTTACCCCTTTTTATGAAAGTTTATAACGTCTTTATGGTTTTCCTAGAGGGAGGAAGACTCCATATTCCCCCGAGTGCAGCTGTCAAACAAGATAGAAAGAACTAGCAGAGACAGAGGGTAAAATAGGAGCAGAACCCACCTTCTGCAGCCGCCGTGTCGCCGCCATACTTGTTTCTGCAGCTCTCAGCAGGTCTCTGGCTCATCATTATAACCCGCCATTTTCAAACTTAAATCATTTTATTTTGGTAAAGGCACACATAATTCACTTTCACAAATTATCATACATAGTAATATATGCAAAACAATCATTGTGAAAATAGTGAAATTCCAAGAGCTTTCGCGATTTCTCACATTATCAATGATCTGTAGTCGTTGTTTTATATATATCGTCTTATCAGCTGTTTACTGTGATCTTATTACACAGTAATAATGTGTAAATTACCTAGGATAACCCCCCAAAAATCAGTGACTTATTTCCATTGGGGTCCTTGTAATATCTTATTATTTAAGCCTTAAGAATAAGAAGTTTATTTTGACATGATACATGGTGGTACAGAGGAATATAAAGGTTGGGTTTACATGCCAAAAGCCCCTTTGTATGCAGAACATTTCGGGAAAAATTTAAAATTATCTTAAGATTAGTGAGGTAATAACAAGTCATATGATCATTAGATGAGCTACAATGAGTAAAAGAGAATAGAATATTCTCTTAGGTAATGCTATATGGCTTTAATAAGTCTAGTGGAGAATAATTACACTGTTGAATTAGTTTATAAAAATACAGTATTACAACAGAAGTTTAAAACAATTTACAATATATATTGCTGTATAGCCCTTGTGGCTTAGCGCTTCTTTTTGATTATAATAATAATAATACAATATATATTACAATTTAGTACTATTTAAAACAATAAAAATTTAGACATCATAGTAGTGAGTGGTTGAGCAATCCTCAGCACAATATGCAGTAATGTAATTGAAACAATTTGAAGTTGAGCAGACTTAAATTATTAGAAGTTTATTTTATTTGAGTAGCTTAAAACAGCTAAGTTTATTCAGATCCCCATCAGTAAAATGGGTACCTGGGTGTCAGTCGACTGGTGTGGGTCGCATCCTGGGACACTGACCTAATTTGCCCGACATGCTGAGCATAACAAGGGGCTTTCTGTATAGTAGTATGTCACTGATGTCAGCTAGGACTGTATACCTTGTACATGTGTATGTAGTAAACAAAGATATTATTATTACACACAAGTTCATGGACTATCATACATAGCAACAGCAACATATGTGTAGAGATATATAACAAATATAACAAAGTTTCATTTAGACTCCATGACGAGGCCTCAATAAGGAATTTCACAGCAGACCTAGAGACTGTTGACTGGCCTACAGAATTCTCCAATGCCAATGGTATTGACGATTGGACAGATTTTTCTTAACAAAATACTTAGACTATACAACAAACATTGTCCTATAAAAACGAAACAGATCACGAATAAACGGCTTGGTTGCCCATGGCTAACCAGCAGCATTCTGAAATCCATTGATAAGAAACACCAATATGAAAAGCAATATAGACAGGGCTTAATACACAAAGATATTCTTAAACAATATTCAACAGTTCTCACCAAATTAATAAAGAAAGCCAAACAACTGTACTACTCCAGCAGATTCACTGACACAAGAGGAGATATAAAAAAGACCTGGAAAACACTTTCCCAGATTCTGGGGACCCATAAACTGAAAAAAAAACAAGAATATTGTTCTATTTAAACCTCATGAAACACCACTGCATCCCACTGATAAAGCTAACAAGATAAACGACTTCTTCTCAAACATAAGAACTAATCTCGCCAGTAAAATCCCACGTACCACTGCCCGTGCCGGGGACTACCTAGATGGGAATTTCCCAAATTCCTTCTATCTTGTACCAACTGAGCCCACGGAAGTCACCACGATCATAAAGTCACTTAAAAATAACTCGGGGAATCTATCTCATGTCCCACCAGGAAAAATAAAAGCACTAATGATGCAATTATAAAAATGCTAGACCTGCTTTACACAGAATTGGAAAATAAGGAATATCCGCTAGGAATTTTTATTGACCTAAGAAAAGCGTTTGACACGGTAGACCACGGCATCCTACTCCACAAACTTGACCACTATGGTATAAGAGGCCATGCGCTTGCGCACAGGAGACTATATTCATTTATAACGTCACAAAACATACTCAACCCCTGCCAATTTGGATTCAGGAAAAATAAAAGCACTAATGATGCAATTATAAAAATGCTAGACCTGCTTTGCACAGCATTGGAAAATAAGGAATATCTGCTAGGAATTTTTATTGACCTAAGAAAAGCGTTTGACACAGTAGACCACGGCATCCTACTCCACAAACTTGATCACTATGGTATAAGAGGCCATGTGCTTGCATATTTTAAATCCTACCTTTCTAATAGGTATCAGTATGTCACCATTAAAGACACAGCCTCATCAATACGACCACTTGATACTGAAGTTCCACGGGGAAGTGTCCTTGGACCCCTGCTCTTCCTCATTTACATCAATGATCTTCCAAACATATCCCAACACCTGAAACCCATTCTCTTTGCTGACGACACGACTTATGTCATCTCCCACCCTAATCAACACCATTGTTAACGAGGAGCTGCTCAAAATATCGACTTGGATGACAGCCAATAAACTTACACTTAACACTGGCAAAACCTACTATACGTATTATGTATGGTGGCCCGGTGGTCTGGTGGCTAAAGCTCCCGCTTCACACACGGAGGGCCCGGGTTCGATTCCCGGCGGGTGGAAATTCCGACACGTTTCTTTACACCTATTGTCCTGTTCACCTAGCAGCAAATAGGTACCTGGGTGTTAGTCGACTGGTGTGGGTCGCATCCTGGGGGACAAGATTAAGGACCCCAATGGAAATAAGTTAGACAGTCCTCGATGACGCACTGACTTTCTTGGGTTATCCTGGGTGGCTAACCCTCCGGGGTTAAAAATCCGAACGAAATCTTATCTTATCTTATCTTGGTAGCAGAGCAGGTGTTGCGCAACTTAACATTAAGATTGACAACACTCTAATTGCCAGACATAATGAGGGCAAATTCCTTGGTCTATACCTCGACAACAACCTAAATTTCAGCACCCATATCCAACACATAACAAAAAAAGTATCCAAAACAGTGGGGATCCTCCGTTCACTTATATATCCATACCTCACCTATGCTATCTGTGCTTGGGGTTCAACTGCAGCAACACACCTAAAGCCAATAATAACCCAACAAAAAGCCGCAGTAAGAATAATCACTAAATCCCATCCCTGGCAACACACCCCCCACTCTTCATAGATCTAAACTTACTCCCTGTTCAGAACATCCACACTTACTACTGTGCAATCTATATCTACAGGACCTTAAATTCCAATATTAACCTTGACCTAAAATGCTTTCTTGATAGTTGTGACAGGATCCACAAGCATAACACCAGACACAAACATCTCTATGGCATTCCCCGTGTTCGACTAAACCTTTACAAAAATTCAATGTATTTCAAAGGACCTAAAATCTGGAACACCCTACCTGAAAACTCTAGAACTGCAGACACATTCATCACTTTCAAAACTACAGTTAGAAAACATATTATCTCCCTGATCCACCCCGACAACTAACTACATGATAACCACCTGGTGGTTCAAAATTACACTCACTCACCCACTGACTCTAAACCCAGAAATACTAATCTTAATCTTAAAATAATAAATCCTAACTAGTCATAAGTTTGCCTATGATACTCAAATATAGACACCTTGTATTGTGCCAAAACAAAAGCATTCACATTGCTAAACTCACAAATTATTATGTAGTCACTTAGCCTTTATACTATAATCTGTAAGGATTTAATGTTAAGAATTAATCTAAGCCTGCTCGAAATGCCTAGCCATGCTAGGTGTCCTAGTGGCCCCCTCTGTAATTAGTATTTTATAACATGTAAACCACAAAATACCCAAAACCTGTAAACCCCACATTGTAACCATTATAGAGAATAAACTTGAATTGAATTTAATTTAATTTAACTGAACCTAGGATAACCAAAAACAGTCAGTCAAAGTGATTTTCAACTTTGTGAAAACCAGTAACAATAAAAGATATTCACTAAGAATAAGGTAAATGAGTTATTTACATTAATATTAAAGAGAGTTTCAGCTTATAATAAAAGGTACATGAATGTTAACTATACAAGAAATTACACATAATGTAAATTACCTAGGATATCCCCCCAAAAAATCAGTGACTACCACTGGGATTCTTGATATTTCCATTGGGGTCTTTATTACACCATTATTACCCAACTTCCGCAGCCCCATTCTTTTATCAGTTATCTTTGCTTGTACGATAAATTATCTCTTCCTATAATAATATAATTATTATATAAAATCCTATTTAAAAAAAATGACTAATGGCGTACATATAATAATCACATAAAGCGCTAAACCCACATGGGTCATACAGCTCTGTGGTCAGGGACTTGAGGGCAGAAGGGTGCATTGGTTAAGGGTGTATACCTGGAGGGTGTTCCAGGGGTCAACGCCCCCGCAGCCTGGTCCATGACCAGGCCTAGCGGTGGATCAGGGCCTGATCACCCAGGTTGTTACTGTTGGTTACACGCAAACCGACATACAAACCAAAGCCTGGCTGGTCAAGTACTGACTTTAGGTGCCTGTCCAGATCCCTCTTGAAGACAGCCAGGGGTCTATTGATAATCCCCCCTATATATGCTGGAAGGCAGTTGAACAGTCTTGGGCCCCTGACACTTATTGTGTTGTCTCTTAGTAACAGTAATAGCATGGCTTATCAGGCCCTGGTCCGCCACGAGGCCTGGTCACAAACCAGGCCTCGGGGGCGTTGATTCCCGAAACCCTCTCCAGGTATACTCATGGCACCCTCCTGCTTTTCATTACCTGGAGAGAGTTCCAGGGGTCAATGCCCCCGCGGCCCGGTCTGTGACCAGGCCTCATGGTGGATCAGGGCCTGATCAACCAGGCTGTTACTGCTGGCTGCACGCAATCCCACGTACAAGCCACAGCCCGGCTGGTCATGTACCGACTTTAGGTGCTGTCCAGTGCCTGCTTGAAGACAGCCAGGGGTCTACTGGTAATCTCCCTTATGTATGCTGGGAGGCAATTGAGCAGTCTTGGGCTCCTAACACTTATTGTGTTGTCTCTTAGCTTGCTAGTGACACCCCTGCTTTTCATTGGGGGGAATGTTGCATCGTCTGCCGAGTCTTTTGCTTTCGTAGGGAGTGATTTTCGTGTGCAAGTTTGGTACTAGTCCCTCTAGGTCCAGGTGTATATAATCATGTATCTCTCCCACCTGTGTTCCAGGGAGTACAGGTTCAGGAACTTCAAGTGCTCCCAGTAATTGAGGTGTTTTATCTTAGTTATTGCACCGCCTGCCGAGTCTTTTCCTTTCATAGGGGGTGATTTCCGTATGCAGATTTGGGTCTAGTCCCTCTAGGATTTTCCAAGTGTATATTGTCATGTATCTTTCTCGCCTGCATTCCAATGGGTACAGGTCAAGGGACTTCAACTGTTCCCGGTAATTTATGTTGCTTTATTGTACTTTTACGTGCAGTGAAAGTTTTCTGTATATTCTACAGGTCTGCAATTTTGCCTGCCTTGAAAGGGGCCATTAGTGTACAGTAGTATATGTTAAGTAAAAGGACACTAATGCAACTAATGTGACATTTTATTGTGGCAATGTTTCGTTCTCCAGGAGCTTTATCAAGCCATTACTGTAATAGCTTGATGAAGCTCCTGAAGAGCAAAACGTTGCCACAATAAAATGTCACATTAGTTGCATTTGTGTCCTTTTACTTAACATACTGTCGGTAATTCTACCAACATTTGTACAGTAGTACTCCAGCCTAAGAAGAACAAGTGATCTAAAGAGAGCACCAATGGATTGGCATCAATAGTGTTGAATATTCTTATTATTCATCCTATCATTTTCCTAGCAGATGTGGTTGAGACAATGTTGTGATCTTTGAAAGTGAGATTCTTTGACATTATCACTCCCAGGCCCTTCACATTAGTTTTTTGCTCTATTGTGTGGCTGGAATCTGTTTTATACTTCGATCCAATTTTTATTTCCTCAAGGTTTCCATAGAGGAGCAATTGAAATTTGTCCTCATTGAACTTCATATTGTTTTCTGAGGCCCATTTAAAGACTTGGTTAATGTCTGCTTGGAGATTTGCAGTGTCCACAATGGATGACAGTCATGCAAATTCTGGTATCATCAACAATGGAGGACACAGTGCTATGGCTTACATCTGTGTGTCAGAGATGAGGATGAGGAAAAGGATGGGAACTAGTACTGTACCTTGAGGAACAGAGCTTTTCACTGTAACCACCTCTGACTTTACTCTGTTTACTGTTACTTTTTGTGTTCTGTTTGTTAGGAAGTTATAGATCCATCTACCCACTTTTTCTGTTATTCCTTTATCACCCATTTTGTGTGCTATTACACCGTGTTTGCACTTGTCGAAGGCTTTCGTAAAGTCTGTGTATACTACATCTGAATTTTGTCTTTCCTCCAGTGCATCCAAGACCATGTCATAGTGCTCCAGTAGTTGTGAGAGGCAGGAGCGACCTGCTTTAAACCCATGCTGCCCTGGGTTGTGCAATTGTCGTGGTGTCCAGATGGTTGGTGATCTTGCTACTTAGAACCCTATCAAAGATTTTTATGATGTGGAACATGATGTCTGTAATTCTTTGCAATTGCTTTACTGCCACCTTTGTGGAGTGGGGTTATATCCATTGTTTTTAGTGACTGGCATGACTCATGTCTATTCTCCATCTCCATAGAATATTTAAGGCATGTGAAAGGGGTTTCTTGCAGTACTCCATGAACACGGAGTACGAAAGTCTGGACCCAGGGCAGGGTGAATAGGCATGTCACTTATTGTTTTTTCAAAGTCCTGTGGTGTTAGGATTATACCAGAAATTCTTGAATTAACCAAATTTTGAGTCTCGGTCAAAAAAATAATTTAGACTGTCGACCCTTATCTGATTAACAGCTCACTAAACGATGAGTCATATTGAGACTTCAGTATATCACTAATTTCTTTATTATCCTTTAAGTTCCATCTCATTAAAGTAGGGGGTCCAATACTGGAGGTTGTATGATTCCTTAAACTTAAGATCAATATTTTCTGTTTCTCTGTGATTCTTCGCCTTTGCCTGTAGAGAGAGCATTTCTCTCTTTCTAGTTTACATCTCTTCTTTTTTCTTGGGGAAATGTGCCTTGAGCATACCTCAAGTGCCACAGAGTTAATTCTTTCTAGGCAAAGGTTCGAATCTGTGTTGTTTAGGATATCTTCCCAGCATGTTACATTTAGGACATGGATAATTTGATCTCATTGGATGTTTCTGTTACTGAAGTTGAATTTGGTGAAGGCACCCTCATAACTGATCTCATTTTGCTGGTGTGAGGGTATGGGTTAGAAGTGGTGAGTCATCATTTAGTACACTAGGAAATAAATCTGACTTTTTTGGGGTTATCCTAGGTAATTTACACATATATTACTAGGTATGATAATTACACTTATTTGTACCTGTACCTAAATAATCTTACTGGTTTCTGTTAAAAAGTCAAAGAAAGAATCTGCATTGAAGGTAGAGCATACAGCTAGGAAGTCAGTCAAGAGTGCTAGGCGGAGTAGATGTTGGAAGTGAATCGTGTGTATGCCTGCTGATAGTGAGGACAATCTGTTTAGATATGGTGGACTAACACTGAGAGAGCCACCTAGCAGTCCTTGCAGAGAGGTACCAATCGTTTCTCCATGCGTATCTTCTAAGTCTGGCTCTTCAGTGAGAATACTAAGACTGCTCTTGTTCCCACCTAAATGAGGTTGCAGGAGTCAAAGTGGAACAATTTTATTTTACAATAAAAGTGCAACACAATGGAAATAAATGGTATAAAATACCGACACAATGGAAATATAAACACATATGCGGTATAATGTGATCCTTTATTGACTACGTTTCGCCCACACAGTGGGCTTTTTCAAGTCACAAACAGATCTGAATTGTGACTTGAAAAAGCCCACTGTGTGGGCAAAACATAGTCAATAAAGGATCACATTATACTGCATATGTGTTTATATTTCCAAAAGTGCAACACATGGGTATTTTTACTGACAAAACTTTACCTCTGTACAACAGGATTCTGCAGTCAAATACAGGTGAATGTAACAACCAAGAGACTATTGGTGGTAGTTTGAAGTTTCAGTAATAAAGAATCCTGAGTATTGCACTTGTGTTTTATTCATTAACTTGGTGGTATTGTATATCATCATTAATATGGTGGTTTTATTTTAAGTTGGGTATAAAACATGAAACTTTCACCACAGGAAAAAACATTATTAATTTATTCTAAAAAGAATTATCAATGAACAGTTCCCAACCTTAAGCAACACAACGGCTGGGCATGCCGCCATAGAAAAACATATCAGAGAATACTGTATTTAATTAATTAATTAATAACTATGTAACAAATACATGGACAAAATTTACTTCCACAGTGTTATTAATCTGTCAGATGTACTGATGCAGAAAAAAAATTTCTCTACTCTCTCCTTGGCACAAATAATATCAGGCAACTTCAGGGTAGAAAAAAGAGGAGTAAAGACTATTTTCATTTTTCATGAATGAAAAAATGCAGCTTGTAACGATTTTTTAAGAATTTTTTTTTTTAATACTAGGAAAATTATAAACTTTCCTAATATTAATCTTAGTCCTGGCTTTGTCTCTGTAAATGCCCTCCTTTCTCATTACTTCTATTCCATCATGACCTCTACCACTACTACTTCCACTACCAGCATTACCTCTACCATTGCTTCCACTACCAGCATGACCTCTACCACTACTTCTCAACTTCTTTCTTTCTTCCTCTCTTTGTCCTGTCCCTGTCCCCCTCTCCTATATATACTGGCTCCCTCAACTTCATGTGTTAGTGTAACTTGCAAATGGTCCAAGTCGGAACGAAACATCATAAGTTTGTCTCTCCTATGTGTGGGTTATTTGTGTAAAGTGCAGGCAGATAGTCTGCATGAGAGGCTGAACCATTGGAGAGGACTCGGTACTACAAGAGCACTGGCAGTGGAGCCAGCATCAGCAATGGTGGCAGCAGCAGCGACAGTGAAACTAGCAATGATGTGTGGCAACAGTATCAGTAGGGATTGTCATCACCTATGGCAGTTGCTTCAAGAATAACAAAAAGTAACAGCAGGTGGGAGGCATTTGAAGTCAATCTGGAGAAAGAAATAATAATAAAATAAATGTCAGTGCTAAACCCAAAAGGGCCATACAGTGCTACAGAGGTATAAGCATCAATTCCTACCATCCTGAACCTTGTCCCATCCTCCATCCCTACAGCAAAAAAAAAATACTTTGAAGGGTTATTCATATGCTTTTGTTTCTAATATTTGCTCCTCTTTTATTGTCTTCCTGAGGAAGTTCCAAACACTGTGGGGGCCATACAGGCCCAGGGGTAAAGGGAGGCAATCAGGTTTGATCCACAGGAGAGGGTAGCTTTAATTCCTTGGATAAAGAGCCCTTCACCAGCATCAAGGACTCTCTATGCAGGATCCTCCACATTTTACAGCACTGTATGATCCTAATGGGTCCAGCTAATGTAAACCAAAAATCTTCTCAGTAGCTCAATGATAAGAAAAGCTTGATCCACCTGGTTCATTTTTTTTTTAAATGAACCAGCCGTCTTCCCACCAAGGTAGGATGACCCAACAATGAAAAAACACTTTCACCATCATTCACTTCATCAATGTCTTGCCAGAGGGGCACTGATACTACAATTCAATTCAAAACTGCAAATATCCCCACTGCTCCTCCAGAGTGCAGGCATTGCACTATAAACTAGTAGTGGCTTATTTTATCCAACCATTCCAGTTTACAATCATTATTCATAAAAGAGAAGCCAAATCTATTTGGGTCATTAAGCAAAAGATACAAGAGGTGGAAGAAGACAGGAAAATTCAGGCAAAGAAAAGCAGAAAGATGAGTGGGAAAACAGTATTCAATGAAACAATAATGTGGGATTATCATAAATGCAATAAAAAAAGCAGAAGTGTTTATGAAATTTATTTAATAGTTGAGTCCTTAAAAATGTGGATATAAATAAAATGAGAGTCAACTGTATAGTATTGTGAATTGTCTCATTTAAAGGAAAAATATAAAATATGAAAAAATTAAGCTTTTCAAATTTTTCAAGCTTGAACAAAAAAAACTAATATTTTTTTCAGTAATGAAGTAGTTAACCTGCTTAATATCACAAATGACAACCATTGTTAAATTAAAAAAAAAAAAATTGTATTAGCTCACAATAAAATAATTTAAGTATTCAAAATGACAGCTATGAAAAACACCCAAGCAAATTACTTGGATATTGTATTTGGTTGTTATTTGCCTGACATACAAAATATGCTTTTCTGCAATAAGTTTCAAAACTGTGACAATTTGGACATGTAAAAAATCAAGTTATTTTTATAAAACAAATTTAACTAGTCTTATCTACAGTGTCTCTATTTCTATAAAAATACTAATACTTCTTCCTTCCTTCTATACTAATCTGTGCTCAGTATGGACTTAAAATTTCAATGCTACCTACAAACAAATATCCATACATAAATTTACAGACTACTACATTCTTTTTATTTACACTTTAGCTGTCTCTCATCAAGGTAGGGTGGGAGACAAAAAGAAGAAAACACTTTCAGTGTCACTCATTCAATCAGTGTCTAGTCAGAAGTATGCTGACATCACTTTTCAGAATTCCCTCCAAACTGCAACATCTCCACCCATCATACAGGCACTGTACCTCCCACCTCCAGATCTCAGGTCCAGTTAACCGGTTTCCCTGAAATCCCTCAAAAATGTTACGTTGTAAATGCTCCAACAGTATGTCAAATCATAAAAACCACTTTCCTCCACTCACTCCTATGTAACGTACTCACACAAACTTGCTGTATGTCCAAGCACCTAGCACTCAAAACCTTTCCCTTTTCCCTCCATCCTTTAATAGGTCAACCCCTACCACACCTTTCCTTCCCCCCAGATTTATACACCTTTCTGGTCATCTAAATGTCCAAATCACCCCAAAAACCCCTCCTCATCCCTCTGAACAATGCTTCTGGTGACCCCACACCTCCTCCTAATCTCAAAGCTCCAAATTCTCTGTATAATATTCAAACCACACATTGCCCTAAACACATCTCTACTGCCTTATGTCTTCTCGCTGCAACATTCAAAACCCACACTTCACATCCATTCGACAGTGTTGGTATCACTATACTCTGGTACATCACCCTTACTGCCAGAGAATTGTATACATATGTACCTAGAAAAATACATGCTGGCATTTAACTTTATGTACTGACAATTATCTCCAGTTTTTTTTAAACTGAATTTGTTTTCGGGGTTTAATCTGTCTATTTACTTTGAGACGTCCAGCACCTTCACGACTTATATGCTGTAAGTACGGTGCTTCTCCTGTTAAAAAAAAAAAAAGTAAATTGAATAAAAATTGAGTTACAGCACCACCTCATATAGCAATAAAAAAATCATCACAATATGTACATATTTTTTATAAGACATTATATAGTATGTAGCTCATAAATATAATTCTTCATAATGTAGAGTGGTAAATATTCTAATAATTATTAATTTTTTTTTTTTTTCAACAAGTTGGTCGTCTCCCACCGAGGCAGGGTGACCCAAAAAAGAAAGAAAATCCCCAAAAAGAAAATACTTTCATCATCATTCAACACTTTCACCACACTCACACATTATCACTGCTTTTGCAGAGGTGCTCAGAATACAACAGTTTAGAAGCATATACGTATAAAGATACACAGCATATCCCTCCAAACTGCCAATATCCCAAACCCCTCCTTTAAAGTGCAGGCATTGTACTTCCCATTTCCAGGACTCAAGTCCGACTATAAGAAAATTACCGGTTTCCCTGAATCCCTTCACTAAATATTACCCTGCTCACACTCCAACAGATCGTCAGGTCCCAAGTATCATTCGTCTCCATTCACTCCTATCTAACACGCTCATGCACGCTTGCTGGAAGTCCAAGCCCCTCGCCCACAAAACCTCCTTTACCCCCTCTTTCCAACCCTTTCGAGGACGACCCCTACCCCTCTTTCCTTCCCCTATAGATTTATATGCTTTCCATGTCATTCTACTTTGATCCATTCTCTCTAAATGACCAAACCACCTCAACAACCCCTCTTCTGCCCTCTGACTAATGCTTTTATTAACTCCACACCTTCTCCTAATTTCCACACTCCGAATTTTCTGCATAATATTTACACCACACATTGCCCTTAGACAGGACATCTCCACTGCTTCCAACCGTCTCCTCGCTGCTGCATTTACCACCCAAGCTTCACATCCATATAAGAGTGTTGGTACTACTATACTTTCATACATTCCCTTCTTTGCCTCCATAGATAACGTTTTTTGACTCCACATATACCTCAACGCACCACTCACCTTTTTTCCCTCATCAATTCTATGATTAACCTCATCCTTCATAAATCCATCCGCCGACACATCAACTCCCAAGTATCTGAAAACATTCACTTCTTCCATACTCCTCCTCCCCATTTGATATCCAATTTTTCTTTATCTAAATCATTTGATACCCTCATCACCTTACTCTTTTCTATGTTCACTTTCAACTTTCTACCTTTACACACATTCTCAAACTCATCCACTAACCTTTGCAATTTTTCTTTAGAATCTCCCATAAGCACAGTATCATCAGCAAAAAGTAACTGTGTCAATTCCCATTTTGAATTTGATTCCCCATAATTTAATCCCACCCCTCTCCCGAACACCCTAGCATTTACTTCTTTTACAACCCCATCTATAAATATATTAAACAACCATGGTGACATTACACATCCCTGTCTAAGACCTACTTAAAATGTTTCTCACAAAACAGTGCTAAACTTGTCCTGATGTCTATCCAACAACTATTATAAATATGTTGCAAGTGTCTGTGCTTCCTCAAACTGTTAGCCTTTCTTGATTTTGGCAGAATCAACACTTCTTTAATATTTGGTTTGCATGATGTGATACCGTATTATTATAATTATGGACAGCACTAAAATCATGAGAGTCATTCAGAGCTACAGTTAGGGTGCTGGAGGATTATTATTGTCATTATATTCATGTTAAACGCTAACACCATGTGGGTCGTTCAGAGCAAAACATGGTGGAGGCTTGATCCTCTGCCTGCTGAGCACAAGACAGTTGCGCTTCCCATTTGTACTCGCTTAGTTCAATAGTTGGACAAGCAAAAATAAATCAAAAGTAAACTAATACAGAATATGTGAAGGTGACCTGATGAGGGAGCTACTTAGCCTCAGTCACAATATTCAGTGATATATAATGAATAATAGAAATCCAACTTACCTGGTGAGAAAAGTTTATAGATAGGGTCTGGGAGATGCATCTCTGGCATAATGACTGCATTTACTTGAGCGGTAATCTGCTGAGGTTGAAGGGAGGTCAAGATAGTCAGCTCTCGGGTTAATGGGTCAATGCTGCTAATGATTCCCCAACCAACTACCTCCCCAAACCATGAGTCTTCTATTAACTGCTTTGGATGATCCAGACTAACAGTTTCTATATTATCAGGACTCACATGACATAGTGAAACAAGCTGTGCATTCATTGCTTTCAATATACAATGTCTAGGTATCTGACGATTACATACATGTAGGACCACATTTGTCCATGACAGCTTCACTATATTAGATGTATTATTATTGGTTTCTGTCATGCTTCCTGGTAGCTTACCAATAAATTGGCCTACATGAGCCATTATAGCCAAATCTCGTAGCACTTTAGGTTTAAAAGAATGTGGAGTACTGTGCTCTTTTGCTACTGATGGCAAAACGAACAAGCTGTAGTAAAGCTCTGACTGGTTAGCCTGGGTGACAATTCCACCTCTAGCACTAATAACTTCCTTACTGTGCAATTCCATTGGAAAATTGATTCGAGAACGAGAACGAGAACTCTGTATCTGAATAACATGTGTTGGTTTTAAGATTCTCAGTACATCAAGCATGATGCTCAGACCTGTACCTTGGGTCCATCCCATGGTATTAACTACCAGAGGTAAAGATGGCTGCTCTTGGCTGAGTTGATGCAGATACTGTATTGCAGCTATGTATCTCTGAAGCATAAACTGTGGACTTGTTGCACCAACTAGCACCTGTTTAACATAGGGTGCAAAACTTTTTGTGTGATGAACATATGCTGGTCCAAGAAGTGGTTTTGTTAACCGAATCAATGACAAACAAGTCGGTAATGAAAATTCAGACTGCCCAGGATCAAGATCAAGACACATAATACCTGAATCTGGCTTATTAGTAAGCAAACTGTTGATGATGTACTTAAAGAAGGTGGACTTTCCAACACCTTGTCCTCCACACAGCACAACACGAGGGACTGTCAAAAAATTAAAATGATTATTAAAAACATTATATAGTAAACAGTGTTTTGAAAATGACTATTAGCAATATGAGTAAACCGAGAGTGTATTAACATCTTTAGTCTGCCTCTCTGCATAAAAACCACAGTTCTAGTCAAACAGTAAAAGATGGCCTCTTTGCAAACTCAACTCCTATCTCTCAAAACGAAAATTATGCAGATAGACAATCTGATTATTGTCTGTGAAGGGTTGACTCAAAATGCAAACATTGATTTTGACATTTTAGAAACAAAACCTTGTGATGGTTACGATCGCAGAAGGCTTAGGAATCTTTAGTTCATCAACAATACAATAATTCTGTCCTTAGAATAAGGATGTGCAAATCATTTTATCACAATGGCAATTTCCCACCAAGTTAACATGACCCCCCTCTTCCCAAAGAGAACATAGTTACCATCATTCATTCAATAGCTGTCTTGCCAGGATTGTGACGACGTCATAATTCAAATGATCCTCTAAACTGTAACATCCCCACTTCTCCCCCTCCTCCAAAGTTTAGGCATTGTGCAATACTTCCCACATCCAGAGCTTAAGTCTACCTAATCAGTTTTTCTGAATCCAATAATAAATAAATAAATGAATGAATAAATAAATATAGGCAAGTACACACACACATACATTTATTTTCACTCCATCTCTGGCTTGCCAGAAGTGTGCCGATAATACAGTTCAATATTACAAATACCTTCACCCCTCCTTCAGAGTGCAGACACTGCACTTTCCATTTCCAGAACTCAAGTCCGGTTAACCAGTTTCCCTGAATCCCTTCATAATATTACCTGACACCACAACAACTCATCAAGCCCCAAAAAATACATTTGCCTCCACTCACTCCTACCTAACACCCACACATGCCTGTTGGATGTACAAATCCCTCACACACAAAATCTCCTTTACCCCTTCCCTCCAACCTTTCCTAGGATAACCCCTACTCCCATCTTCCCTCCACAACAGATTTATACACCCTTCAAGTCATTCTATTTTTCTTCATCCTCTCTAAATGTCCAAACAACCTCAACAGCCTCTCCCCAGCCCTCTGGATACTTTTAATAACCCCACACCACCTCCTAATCTCCAAACTACAAAGTTTCTGCAGAACATTTACACCACACATTGCCCTCAAACATGAATCTCCACTGCCTCCAGCCTCCTCTTCACTGCAACATTCACAATCCCCTGCTTCATACTCGTATAAGAGTGTTGGTACCACTAAACGTGTACTCTCATACATTCCTCTTTTTGTCTCCATGGATAACATTCTTGATCCAAGGAATCACAGGTTTGCTCCAATTCTTTAATCAAGAGCTCTTCACCAGCATTAAAGCACTTCCCTTCAAGGGTGATATGTGTGAAGCATGTGAAGTTTTCATTGTCAGTAGATCAAAAGTTATGATTACAAAATCAATACTTAGCTTCATGTCAACTAAATGAATTTACTTAGGCTACACTAGTTTACACAACATCTTCAACAGAGAGGTTATCTTCGAAGACTGTACATGTCAATACATATCCACTTGCACAAGTACTTAGTACTTTCTCGTTTCAATTTAAATTATATATTTGACAACCCTTATCTAATTTTCAGTTTAGCCCTACATAATATACTTTGCAGAAATTCTGCACATCCAAACTTTGTATGTGTTTTTTCATCCTGATAATCTGAGTTCAGAAGTGACATTTAAACCTAAGACAGTGGAATAAGTAAGTGTAGAGATAAGTTTGAGGTGTTCAGTCCCTTAGTGTTGAAGAAGTCATTTTGAGGATGCAGGACTGAATACCTCTATCTAGGTTGAGGTCTTGAAAAACCTCAAAATGACTTCAAGACTGGGGGACTGAACACCTCAAACCTATTTCACCATTTAATCCACTGTCTCCAGTTTAACCCTTTCACTGTTTCGGTCGTATATATACGTCTTACAAGACACCGTGTTTGATGTATATATACTCATAAATTCTAGCGGCTTCAAATCAAGCAGGAGAAAGCTGGTAGGCCCACATGTGAGAGAATGGGTCTGTGTGGTCAGTGTGCACTATATAAAAAAAATCCTGCAGCATGCAGTGCATAATGAGAAAAAAAAAACTCCGATTTTGCCGATTTTGTGGTCTATTTTCGTATAGTATTTATGGTTGAATTCTCGTTTTTTGGTCTCATTTGATAGAATGGAAAACATATTATAGAAATAGAAGTGATTTTGATTGGTTTTACTATGAAAAGAACCTTGAAATGGAGCTCAAAGTAGAGGAAAAGTTTGATTTTTGCCGATGTTCAAAAGTAAACAAATTATGTCATTGTCCAATAAATGTCCAACTAGCCATTCTAATATGCAGTCATGAATGGGTTGACAGTATTTATACAATTATTGCAATATTGAAGTAGTCTGCATAACAGTAAATCTATTATTTTTTGTTTGAATAAAAATTCAAAATAAAAAGCAAGAGTAATATCAGAGGGGCCTGGAGGTGTGACTGATGAACAAAGAAAATTTTATTTTAGAGCCAGGAATGCTGCATTGTTCATTCTAGACTCTATTTTGAATTTTTTTTTTTTTTTATTAACACACTGGCTGATTCCCACCAAGGCAGGGTGGCTCGAAAAAGAAAAACTTTTACCATCATTCACTCCATCACTGTCTTGCCAGAAGGGTGCTTTACACTACAGTTTTTAAACTGCAACATTAACACCCCTCCCTCAGAGTGCAGGCACTGTACAGTGGACCCCCGCATAACGATATTATTTCAATCCAGAAGTTTGTTTGGGTGCCATTATAGACCGAATTTGTTCCTATAAGAGATATTGTGAATTAGATTAGTCCATTTCAGACCCCAAAAAATACACCTACAAAAGCACTTACAAAAATACACTCACATAACTGGTCGAGTCGGGAGCTGATCGTTATGCGGGGGTCCACTGTACTTCCCATCTCCAGGACTCAAGTTCGGCCTGCCGGTTTCCCTGAATCCCTCCATAAATGTTACGCTGCTCACACTCCAACAGCACGTCAAGTATTAAAAACCATTTGTCTCCATTCACTCCTATCAAACATGCTCACGCATGCCTGCTGGAAGTCCAAGCCTCTCACACACAAAACCTCCTTTACCCCCTCCCTCCAACCTTTCCTAGGCCGTCCCCTACCCCGCCTTCCTTCCACTACAGACTGATACACTCTTGAAGTCATTCTGTTTCGCTCCATTCTTTCTACATGTCCGAACCACCTCAACAACCCTTCCTCAGCCCTCTGGACAAGTTTTGGTAATCCCGCTAACTTCCAAACTACGAATTCTCTGCATTATACGTATTCACACCACACATTGCCCTCAGACATGACATCTCCACTGCCTCCAGCCTTCTCCTCGCTGCAATATTCATCACCCATGCTTCACACCCATATAAGAGCGTTGGTAAAACTATACTCTCATACATTCCCCTCTTTGCCTCCAAGGACAAAGTTCTTTGTCTCCACAGACTCCTAAGTGCACCGTTCACCCTTTTCCCCTCATCAATTCTATGATTCACCTCATCTTTCATAGACCCATCTGCTGACATGTCCACTCCCAAATATCTGAATACATTCACCTCCATACTCTCTCCCTCCAATCTGATATCCAATCTTTCATCACCTAATCTTTTTATCCTCATAACCTTACTCTTTTCTGTATTCACTTTTAATTTTCTTCTTTTGCATACCCTACCAAATTCATTCACCAACCTCTGCAACTTCTCTTCAGAATCTCCCAAGAGCACAGTGTCATCAGCAAAGAGCAACTGTGACAACTCCCACTTTATGTGTGATTCTTTATCTTTTAACCCTTAAACGGTCCAAACAGATCGACGTTCAAATTCATATTGCTACAAAAGTAGATCTACTTTTTTTTACATATTTTCAAATATAACAAAAAAAAACGTAGATAAAAGTTTTTTTTACACGTTTTCAAATGTAAAACAAAAAAGATCTACATTTTTTTACATACTTTCAGATGTTGAAAAAACGTATATATACGTTTGGACCATTTAACCCTTTGAGGGTCGACAGGCCCTCTCCGAAACTCGTTCTCAGGGTCGGCCAAATTTAAAAAAAAAAAAATTATTTTCTTTTATGAAAAGATAGAGAATCTTTTCCCGATCATAAAGACACCAAAAGTTTGAAATTTGATAGAAAACTTACGGAATTATGCTCTCGCAAAGTTAGCGGTCTCGGCGATGTTTACGCATCGGCGATTTTGCCCACTTTGAGCCCCATTTTCGGCCAATTTCACTGTACTAGTCGACAAAAAACATGAATATTTCGCTAGAACTCCATTTTTTCTATCGAATGGGTGCAAGAAACCACCCATTTATGAAATTCAACTATCCAGTACAGTGGTCAGAATTTAGCAATTTTGCCAATTTCACACAAATTTCAAAAGATGCCAATTTCCGAATAGGGTCCAGAATAAACAAGAAAGACATTCCTGGCACTAAAATGACATTTCCTCTAGTCATTAGTCACGTCTCAAGGCCCCTCTTATATTCTTTTGCTTTCCACTTTGAATTTTTATTTTCACAAAAAATATAAGATTTACTGTTATGCAGACTACTGCATTAGTGTAAAAAATGGTATAAATATTATTGGTGCACTTGTGAAAGAATATTAGACTCACCAGTTGACGTGTATTGCACGCTTGGCACGATTTGTTTACTTTTGAAGTTTGGTAAAAATCGAACATTTCTGCTACTTTGAGCTCAATTTCAAGGCACCTTTCATTGTAAAACCAGTCAAAATCATCTTAATTTCTGTAATATGTCTTCCATTCTATAAAATGAGACCAAGAAAACTAGAATACAACAATAAATACCATACGAAAATACACTGCAAAGTCGCTGATTTATTAAAAAAAAATGGTCAAAGTTTTTTTTTTCTCATTATGCACTGTGTGCTGCAGGATTTTTTTTAGACTGTGCACACTGACCACATAGACCCATTCTTTCATGTGAAGGCCTACCAGCTTTCTCCCACTAGATTTGAGGCCGCTAGAATTTATGAGTACTAGTACGTCAAAAACCCCTATGCGTAAGACGTACTAGTACGACCAAAACCTTCAAAGGGTTAAGGGTTAACTCCACGCCTCTTGCCAAGACTCTCGCATTTACTTCTCTTACAACCCCATCTATAAATATATTAAACAACCATGGTGACATCACACATCCTTGTCTAAGGCCTACTTTTACTGGGAAATAATCTCCCTCTTTCCTACATACTCTAACTTGAGCCTCACTATCCTTGTAAAAACTCTTCACTGCTTTCAGTAACCTACCTCCTACACCATACACCTGCAACATCTGCCACATTGCCTCCCTATCCACCCTGTCATATGCCTTTTCCAAATCCATAAATGCCACAAAAACCTCTTTAGCCTTATCTAAATACTGTTCACTTATATGTTTCACTGTAAACACCTGGTCCACACACCCCCTACCTTTCCTAAAGCCTCCTTGTTCATCTGCTATCGTATTCTTCTTCTTACTCTTAATTCTTTCAATAATAACTCTACCATACACTTTACCAGGTATACTCAACAGACTTATCCCCCTATAATTTTTACACTCTCTTTTGTCCCCTTTGCCAATCCCTAGGTACCTTACCCTCTTCCATACATTTATTAAATAATTGCACCAACCACTCCAAAACTATATCCCCACCTGCTTCTAACATTTCTATCTTTATCCCATCAATCCCGGCTGCTTTACCCCCTTTCATTTTACCTACTGCCTCACGAACTTGTCATATTTTTTAACTTTCGTGAAATTGGCTAAATTGCAAATTTCTGACCATGTTATTGGGTAGTTGAAATCGGTAAATGGGCAGCTTCTTGTACTCAATCGATAAAAAAAATGGAGTTCTAAAGAAATAGCTATGAGTTTGGTCGACTGGAACAATGGAATTAGCCGAAAATAGGGCTGAAAGTGGGCAAAATCGCCGATTCGTAAATATCACCGAGGTCGCTAACTTTGCGAAAGTGTAATTCCACCAGTTTTCCATCAAATCTCGTTCTTTTGGTGTCACTACCATCGCAAAAAGATTCTCTATCATTTCAAAAGAATTTTTTTTTTTTTTTAAATTTTTCGACACCAGGAGACACCTCAGGATTTGGGGTTTCGACAGTCAAGGGGCTAAATGTCACCTACATACTTAACAAAGAAGCCTACTATGCAAGTGAAACATTTCAGCACTGAAGATATTCAAGTGTTGCAAGTGTGTTTCATTCTCTAGCTTGTGGATATTGTATATCACTAGTATAATACTACTGTACTGTATATATAAAATCAGGTAAGCTTACCACTGCCACAAGTCCAACAAGAAGTGATTGTGTCTATAATATCATGCCAGAGAGGATCTTCTATTGTAAGACAATAATTATTCTGGTTCATTTGTGTAATAAGAGTTGCTGAAATATCATGCCAAGGCTCTTGCTTTTCTCTGCCATAAAAGAGCCGTTCCCAGCCAACCAATGATAAAAATCTTGCAACAGGTGGAAAGGATTGCTGTATCTCTAATATCAACAATGGTCCATCCTGTAAAAATAATTTTACTCAATGATAGTTATGGAAACAATGTATACTAATGTAGTATGTACACACAATAATCACTTGGCACATTTTCTTTTTTAATTTTCCTTTCAGGTGCTTTACTATGCAACCTTAACCCGTAAACGGTCCAAGCAGATTTACATTCACATGTGTAGTGCTCCAAAAGTAGATCTACGTTTTTTTTACATATTTTCAAATATAACAAAAAAAAAAGTAGATCAAAGTTTTTTACACATTTTCAAATGTAAAAAAAAAAAAAGATGATCTACTTTTTTTACATACTATCAAATGTTGAAAAAACGTATATATACGTTTGGACCGTTTACGGGTTAAAGACAAAACATAAAGAAAATAGTCAGACCTCCAAAATCAAGGCATGGCTGTTCAAGTGTCGCTACCGAACGAATTTATTCCCATCAGATTATTATTATTATAATCAAAAAGAAGCGCTAAGCCACAAGGACTATACAGCGCTGCTATTCCCATCAGATATAATGTAAATTAGATTAGTCCATTTCAGACCCTCAAAAATTCACTTATAAAAGCACTTACAAAAATACACTTACATAATTGGTTGAGTTGGGAGCAGTTTGATTTTTGAGGTTCCACTGTACTATGCTTACTGAATTTTCCAAGCCCAAACTTAATACTGTATTTTAAAGATATATAAAATAATTACCGAATTAATGAAGACATCTTGAAGCCACTTAGTAGGTATTCTCTTGTCTTGAAGGCTGCTATCCATGGAGTTCATGTTGCCAGCACTCACTGCACTGATACCAAGTAAGGCACCAGAAGAAACTGAATAAACTGTCTGCATTTCTCCTTCCTGTAGTGTGTAGCCCAGCACTTTAGCAGTACCCAGTAAAGGACAAATACGCACCAGTCCATGAATATATATGGTGGATCCAGGGGTAATAGCTGCCACAAGGGTATCTCTACTAGTGGCTGTTACAGATGCAACCTCTCCTATTAACAAGTGTTTATTACTTTTTGTCTTTATTATTCCTTGTGGATGATCAGCTCTGTCACATATGGTCTTATGTTTTGTACCTATATTTTTTGTTTCTACCTGTGCACTCTGTGTTTGATCTTCCCCATCAGAATCTTGCCACATGTTCAGAGCTTGGTAGAAACAACCAACTTCTGATTGTCCCAAATTCTGGTTTTCACTTTCCCCAACCTTATAAAATGGTCTTTCTTCCCCATTATCAAGAACATCAAATGACATGTCAGCCTGACATGAGTAATCCAATTCATTTTTCTTCAGGCCAGATAATTTATCTGTCTGTTGATTAAGTTGTTCAGAGTCTTTCTTGGCTTTATTTATCTTTGATTCCTTAACAATACTACTAACTTTTCTTTTTTTTGTTTTTTTGAGTTTGGCAGAACAAACCAAAACTATACTGCCATTCTTTTTCTTCTTTACTTGGGAACTGAAGACATTGGACACCTTCTCTTTTGTGGTTTTCTTCTTGTGTGTAGGAGCAGACACCTCTGAAGCCATAAGTTTAGGAGAGTCAACATGTTCATTTATATTTGTACCTATATTCTGGACATCCTCTGCTAATGTACTTATTTTAATTTTCTTAACCAAGGTTCTCTCCGAACTGGGATTATCTTCTGTACCCATAGGTTGCTGGGGTTCAGCAACTGAAACACTGCCCTTCCGTTTCCTGAGGGAAAGAAATATATATTTGACAAAGAATAAAATATATCAACAGTATTTACTTATATAGCCCCAATGAATTTAATCTACAATAAAAAATACTGTACCCTATTATGTGCCTCTAGAATCTTTTGACTACTGCCCACAAGATGGATAGGTTTTTGTGACTGTTTTTTATTATTTCCTCGTTATTTGTGAAGATCAAATCCAGTGTGCAGTATTTTCATTTCTAGCTGAAGTGGTTATCTGTTGGCTCAATGCAAACTTTTCACAAAGCCTCATTAGAAAACCATATCTACATATTCCCACAAACAGATGAAACATTAAGGAATTAATTCATCCACTAACCCTTTATTTTAGCTGTGGTGATGTATATTCTTTTCTGCAATGCAATGCTTCATATATTTATCACCATTCATTCATCTTATATTTCAACATCTGAATCAACTTCTAACTTTGATTAATAACTTCACAACAGCAGTAACAAACATTAACTGGCACACTGAGCCAGAAATCTATACAGATATTGACGAATGTTTTAATAATTTTCTAAAAAAGACCCAATACCTCTATAACAAACACTGCCCTAAAAAAACTAAACAGATGACAGCTAAGAGACTGAACAGTCCCTGGCTAACACCCAGCATTCTCAAATCCATAAATACAAAACACCGATATGAAAAACAGTACAGAATGGGTCACATAACCAGAGACCAAACAAAACGTTACTTGTCAATCCTAACCAGCCTGATAAGAAGGGCAAAAAAATTGTATTATGAGAACAGATTATCCAACTTACGAGGTGATATAAAAAAGATTTGGAAAACCCTATCAAAAATTCTGGGAACAAAAAAGATATAACGAAATAGCGAAATAAAATTAGCAAAATCAGATGAACCCCAACTCCCACCAACAGAAACAGCAAACAGACTCAATGATTTCTTCTCCACTATAGGACAAAACCTTGCCAATAAAATCCCAAGCTCAGATACCCCACCAAATGACTACCTCACTGGCAACTACCCGAACACACTGTTCCTAGCTCTGACTAACCCATACGAAGTCTCCCTTATTATCAACGCACTAAAAAACAAGGCAGGAGATTTAAATACCTTACCACCCTTTATATACAAAAAAGTGTCACAAGTGCTATCACCAATCATTGCAACACTCTTTAACAAATCCATTGAATCCTCCACCTTCCCTACAGTTCTCAAAATAGCAAGGGTCACCCCGATCCATAAAGGAGGAGACCAAACAGAGTTGAATAACTATAGGCCAATATCCAATTTACACCCTCTCTCAAAAATCTTCGAAAAATTAATTCATAAACGAATCTACTCCTACCTCATCTCCCCAAAACATACTCAACCCCTGCCAATTTGGATTCAGGCCTAATAAAAATACTAATGATGCTATTATACACATGCTAGAACATATATACACTGCAATAGAGAAAAAAAAAGTCCCACTGGGGATCTTCATTGACTTACGTAAAGCTTTTGATACAGTTGACCATGACTTGCTCCACGTAAAATTGTCACACTATGGTATAAGAGGGCACTCCCTCAACTACCTCAAGTCATACCTCAGCAACAGAAGCCGATATGTGTACGCAAATGGGGCAAGCTCTTCCGCACAACCAATTACAGTTGGTGTCCCACAGGGAAGTGTCCTTGGCCCTCTTCTCTTTCTCCTATACATAAATGACCTACCAAATGCTTCGCAATTACTCAAACCCACACTATTTGCAGATGACACTACATATGTCTTCTCTCACCCGAGCCCAGTCACGCTAGCCAATGTACTGTAAATACCGAATTACAGAAAATATCTACCTGGATGAGGACTAACAAACTTACACTAAACATTGACAAAACCTACTTCATTCAGTTTGGTAACAGAGCTACAGATGTCCCTCTTAACATAACAATAAACGGATCACCTATCACAAAGCTAACAGAGGGAAAATTCTTAGGAATCCACCTTGATAATAGACTCAAATTTCATACACATATACAACAAATTTCTAAGAAAATTTCCAAGACTGTAGGCATACTATCGAAGATACGGTACTATACTCCACAGTCAGCCCTCCTGGCCCTTTATCACTCTCTTATTTACCCCTATCTCACCTATGGAATTTGTGCATGGGGCTCAACAACAATTAACCATCTCAGACCACTAATTACCCAACAAAAGGCTGCAGTTAGAATGATAACAAATTCTCACTACAGGCAGCACACTCCACCAATATTCAAAACACTCACCTACTCACCTAACAAAACATCCCATACTTATTATTGCACCTATTACATACATAGAACACTTAACTCTGATATTAACCCTCCCCTCAAAACCCCCTTCCCAACCTCAACAGAACACATGACCATAACACAAGGCACAGATCACTTTTTGATGTTCCTTGTGTCCATCTCATGCTATGCAAAAACTCAATGGCCATAAAAGGCCCTAAAATTTGGAATTCATTACCTGTAAAATAAAAGAAACACTCCCTGTTTATAAATTCAAGTCTCTTCTCAAAGATCACTTACTCACCCAAAACCAAATAAATACGAATAACTGAACCTTATAAATTGTATATCTTAAATGTTTCTCACAATTAATCACTTTAAATGTTAAACCTAAAACTCAATCTAACAGAATACTCCATTCGACTGAATGTACAGCAATGCATGCAACCATATGACCTGTCTTTGTAATACTCATTTGTGCTTTATAGTTATCTGTTTACAATAATGTCTTATCACTGATTTCATCATTGCTTAGTTAATCTTAAGTTAATTTTAAGCCAGCCTGTAATGCTATGCATATAAGTGGCTTTGGCATGCTGCTCTTACCTGTATTTTTTGTACCTCTGTATGTATGCTCAAATTACTAAATAAATAAATAAATAAATAAATAAAAATATTTTTTTTATTATCACACCGGCCGATTCCCACCAAGGCAGGGTGGCCCGAAAAAGAAAAACTTTCACCATCATTCACTCCATCACTGTCTTGCCAGAAGGGTGCTTTACACTACAGTTTTTAAACTGCAACATTAACACCCCTCCTTCAGAGTGCAGGCACTGTACTCCCATCTCCAGGACTCAAGTCCGGCCTGCCGGTTTCCCCCGAATCCCTTCATAAATGTTTACTTGCTCACACTCCAACAGCAAAGTCAAGTATTAAAAACCATTTGTCTCCATTCACTCCTATCAAACACGCTCACGCATGCCCGCTGGAAGTCCCAAACCCCCGCCACAAAAACCTCCTTTACCCCCTCCCTCCAACCCTTCCTAGGCGACCCCCTCCCGCCTTCCTTCCACTACAGACTGATACACTCTTGAAGTCATTCTGTTTCGCTCCATTCTCCTACATGTCCGAACCACCTCAACAACCCTTCCTCAGCCCTCTGGACAACAGTTTTGGTAATCCCGCACCTCCTCCTAACTTCCAAACTACGAATTCTCTGCATTATATTCACACCACACATTGCCCTCAGACATGACATCTCCACTGCCTCCAGCCTTCTCCTCGCTGCAACATTCATCACCCACGCTCAAACCCATATAAGAGCGTTGGTAAAACTATACTCTCATACATTCCCCTCTTTGCCTCCAAGGACAAAGTTCTTTGTCTCCACAGACTCCTAAGTGCACCACTCACTCTTTTTCCCTCATCAATTCTATGATTCACCTATGATTATTTTATAATATTCAGAATCCTTAATATCTCATCTTTAATCTTACAAACAACTTTCCTAATATCACGTTCTCTATCTATCTATCTATACCTCAAACATTTCACTATAATACTTGCTTCAGCAGTCATAATATCCTGTATACCTACATCAAATTTTTAAATTAGAAGTACGTAAATACAATATTCTGAAAATATTAAGCAACAGTATTATGATTTTAACCAATCATACTTATTTTTACATGTGCTGAAAATTTTTAATGAATGAATGTAAAAATTCAACATTTATAATTATTGTAAACTCATTTGCTGAAAATTTGTAATGAACGAATGTAAAAATTCAACATTTATAATTAATGTAGACTTGTTTGTTAAGTACAGTAAGTTACTTTCTTAGAAAACTTTTCTTGCAGCACATGTAACTTTTAAAAAGCTTTGCTCTTAGTATAATTATATCACATTTAATAATAGAAAAGTAACAAATGATTCAAGACCCAAAGATGCTTAAGATGCAAAATTATATTTTTTATGCCAATGAAACCGGAGAAAAAACTAATGATAAACTAGCCACCAGTCTAGCTTCTTTGATGGTGTATTCCATTCATTTATTATGAACTAAAATTTAAAACTATGCACAGTCAATGTTGTTTAAAGCTACTGAGAAAGTATTACAGGATATATTAACATGCAAAGACTATTAACTACTAAATAAATTATGCCTTTGAGATAGATGCAAAGAAAATGATAGGATGGATAATGAGAACGTTCAAAACAAGAGATGCCAAGCCACTTTTGATCCTTTTCAAATCACTTGTTCTCTCTAGGTTGGAATACTGCTGTACATTAACATCTCCATTCAAAGCAGGTGAAATTGAAGACCTAGAGACTGTACAGAGAACCTTTACTGCACGTATAAGTTCTATCAAGCACCTCAACTACTGGGAATGCTTGGAAGCACTTGACTTGTATTCGCTGGAACGCAGGAGAGGTATATCATAATCTACACTTGGAAAATCCTAGAAGGAATGGTCCCGAATCTGCACACAGAAATCACTCCCTACGAAAGTAAAAGACTAGGCGGGCGATGCAAAATACCCTCAATTAAAAGTAGGGGCGCCATTGGTACACTAAGAGAAAACACCATAAGTGTCCAGGGCCCAAGACTGCTCAACAGCTTCCCACCAAGCATAAGGGGAATTACCAATAGGCCCCTGGCTGCCTTCAAGAGGGAGCTGGGCAGATACCTAAAGTCGGTGCCGGATCAGCCAGGCTGTGGTTCGTATGTTGGAGTATGTGCGGCTAGCAGTAACAGCCTGGTTGATCAAGCCGATTCACAGGAAGGCCTGGTCATGGACCGGGCCGGGGTTGTTGATCCCCGGAATACCCTCCAGGTAGACTCCAGGCATAACAGAAAATGCTCTTTATATTTGAAAATCTAAAGAAATCTGCAATGTCCAGCATAAAAATAAATCGTAATTAAAAAGTTAGATTTCTTAAGCTTTTCACTGTCATGACCCCCAAAATTAATATCACTCTCAGTGTCCACTTTAAAAAAAAAAAAAAACTGAAATATAGGGAATCTTTTTCTGAAGGTAATGACACCAAAAGTACAAAATTTGATAGAAAAGGTATGGAATAACGCAGGTACAAAATTAGCGGTCTTCGCGCAATTTATGCACTGGTAATTTCACCCAGTTTGTGTTTGAGTTTCAGTGGGGGGAAATAAATGGGATTAAATCTGGAGTATCTGAGAGAGTTAGAGCAAAGGAAGGGGTAGCAGTAATGTTAAATGATCAGTTATGGAAGGAGAAAAGAGAATATGAATGTGTAAATTCAAGAATTATGTGGATTAAAGTAAAGGTTGGATGCGAGAAGTGGGTCATAATAAGCGTGTATGCACCTGGAGAAGAGAGGAATGCAGAGCAGAGAGAGAGATTTCGGGAGATGTTAAGTGAATGTATAGGAGCCTTTGAACCAAGTGAGAGAGTAATTGTGGTAGGGGACCTGAATGCTAAAGTAGGAGAAACTTTTAGAGAGGGTGTGGTAGGCAAGTTTGGGGTGCCAGGTGTAAATGATAATGGGAGCCCTTTGATTGAACTTTGTATAGAAAGGGGTTTAGTTATAGGTAATACATATTTTAAGAAAAAGAGGATAAATAAGTATACACGATATGATGTAGGGCGAAATGACAGTAGTTTGTTGGATTATGTATTGGTAGATAAAAGACTGATGAGTAGACTTCAGGATGTACATGTTTATAGAGGGGCCACAGATATATCAGATCACTTTCTAGTTGTAGCTACACTGAGAGTAAAAGGTAGATGGGATACAAGGAGAATAGAAGCATCAGGGAAGAGAGAGGTGAATGTTTATAAACTAAAAGAGGAGACAGTTAGGGTAAGATATAAACAGCTATTGGAGGATAGATGGGCTAATGAGAGCATAGGCAATGGGGTCGAAGAGGTATGGGGTAGGTTTAAAAATGTAGTGTTAGAGTGTTCAGCAGAAGTTTGTGGTTACAGGAAAGTGGGTGCAGGAGGGAAGAGGAGCGATTGGTGGAATGATGATGTAAAGAGAGTAGTAAGGGAGAAAAAGTTTAGCATATGAGAAGTTTTTACAAAGTAGAAGTGATGCAAGGAGGGAAGAGTATATGGAGAAAAAGAGAGAGGTTAAGAGAGTGGTGAAGCAATGTAAAAAGAGAGCAAATGAGAGAGTGGGTGAGATGTTATCAACAAATTTTGTTGAAAATAAGAAAAAGTTTTGGAGTGAGATTAACAAGTTAAGAAAGCCTAGAGAACAAATGGATTTGTCAGTTAAAAATAGGAGAGGAGAGTTATTAAATGGAGAGTTAGAGGTATTGGGAAGATGGAGGGAATATTTTGAGGAATTGTTAAATGTTGATGAAGATAGGGAAGCTGTGATTTCGTGTATAGGGCAAGGAGGAATAACATCTTGTAGGAGTGAGGAAGAGCCAGTTGTGAGTGTGGGGGAAGTTCGTGAGGCAGTAGGTAAAATGAAAGGGGGTAAGGCAGCCGGGATTGATGGGATAAAGATAGAAATGTTAAAAGCAGGTGGGGATATAGTTTTGGAGTGGTTGGTGCAATTATTTAATAAATGTATGGAAGAGGGTAAGGTACCTAGGGATTGGCAGAGAGCATGCATAGTTCCTTTGTATAAAGGCAAAGGGGGATAAAAGAGAGTGCAAAAATTATAGGGGGATAAGTCTGTTGAGTGTACCTGGTAAAGTGTATGGTAGAGTTATAATTGAAAGAATTAAGAGTAAGACGGAGAATAGGATAGCAATGAACAAGGAGGCTTTAGGAAAGGTAGGGGGTGTGTGGACCAGGTGTTTACAGTGAAACATATAAGTGAACAGTATTTAGATAAGGCTAAAGAGGTCTTTGTGGCATTTATGGATTTGGAAAAGGCATATGACAGGGTGGATAGGGGGGCAATGTGGCAGATGTTGCAAGTGTATGGTGTAGGAGGTAGGTTACTGAAAGCAGTGAAGAGTTTTTACGAGGATAGTGAGGCTCAAGTTAGAGTATGTAGGGAAGAGGGAAATTTTTTCCCAGTAAAAGTAGGCCTTAGACAAGGATGTGTGATGTCACCGTGGTTGTTTAATATATTTATAGATGGGGTTGTAAGAGAAGTAAATGCGAGGGTCTTGGCAAGAGGCGTGGAGTTAAAAGATAAAGAATCACACACAAAGTGGGAGTTGTCACAGCTGCTCTTTGCTGATGACACTGTGCTCTTGGGAGATTCTGAAGAGAAGCTGCAGAGATTGGTGGTTGAATTTGGTAGGGTGTGCAAAAGAAGAAAATTAAAGGTGAATACAGGAAAGAGTAAGGTTATGAGGATAACAAAAAGATTAGGTGATGAAAGATTGAATATCAGATTGGAGGGAGAGAGTATGGAGGAGGTGAACGTATTCAGATATTTGGGAGTGGACGTGTCAGCGGATGGGTCTATGAAAGATGAGGTGAATCATAGAATTGATGAGGGAAAAAGAGTGAGTGGTGCACTTAGGAGTCTGTGAGACAAAGAACTTTGTCCTTGGAGGCAAAGAGGGGAATGTATGAGAGTATAGTTTTACCAACGCTCTTATATGGGTGTGAAGCGTGGGTGATGAATGTTGCAGCGAGGAGAAGGCTGGAGGCAGTGGAGATGTCATGTCTGAGGGCAATGTGTGGTGTGAATATAATGCAGAGAATTCGTAGTTTGGAAGTTAGGAGGAGGTGCGGATTACCAAAACTGTTGTCCAGAGGGCTGAGGAAGGGTTGTTGAGGTGGTTCGGACATGTAGAGAGAATGGAGCGAAACAGAATGACTTCAAGAGTGTATCAGTCTGTAGTGGAAGGAAGGCGGGGTAGGGGTCGGCCTAGGAAGGGTTGGAGGGAGGGGGTAAAGGAGGTTTTGTGTGCGAGGGGCTTGGACTTCCAGCAGGCATGCGTGAGCGTGTTTGATAGGAGTGAATGGAGACAAATGGTTTTTAATACTTGACGTGCTGTTGGAGTGTGAGCAAAGTAACATTTATGAAGGGATTCAGGGAAACCGGCAGGCCGGACTTGAGTCCTGGAGATGGGAAGTACAGTGCCTGCACTCTGAATAAGGGGTGTTAATGTTGCAGTTTAAAAACTGTAGTGTAAAGCACCCTTCTGGCAAGACAGTGATGGAGTGAATGATGGTGAAAGTTTTTCTTTTTCGGGCCACCCTGCCTTGGTGGGAATCGGCCAGTGTGATAATAATAATAATAATTGAGTCCTATTTAAAGTCGGTTACATTCTGCTCTTATGCCTTTTATTCCATTGACTGAGCACAAGAAACAGCCCATTATCTATCAGAATTACCCTATAAAGTGCACAGAAGTTGGTAATTTGACCAATTTCACATAAAATTCCAATTTAAAAATAAAGTTCCAAAAAAGAACACTGTAGACATTCTGGGCACTAAATCAACACTTCCTCTGTTCAATTTTGAATTCATAATCACACAAAATATCACAGAAATACCCTATTTCTTGGATAATAAAATAAAGCCAGGAATGACTGATCATGGTTTACATCAATAATTGAATCAGATCTATTAAAAATCCACAAAACAGACTGGGGGGGTGTAGGGAGTCTTACCTATCCTCTGGAAAATCAGCAAAAATCAAATATTTCCACTACTTGGAGCCAAATTTCAAGCTACTTCTGCTCCTGAAACTAACAAAAATCATCTCTATTTCAGTAATACATATTCCAATCTATCAAATGATATCAAGAAACAACCAATAAAACCATAAAAACTATCCTAGAAGACACTTCAAATTCGTTATTTTAAACCATACACATTGTCAATTTTACTTTTCCCATCATGCACAGCATGGGGCAGGATTTTATATTTATTTATTTATTTATTTATTAACAATTTGAGCATACATACAGAGGTACAAAAAAATACAGATAAGAGCAGCATGCCAAAGCCACTTATACTATGCATAGCATTTCGGGCTGGCTTAAAAGTATTGTATTGTACACATTCACTGTGCAGACCCATTTTCTCATATCTAGGTCAAAATTTACTACTCAAGAGCTTATCTGAGCGAGCCAAGGTCATGACACAAAACTACGTGAGGGACTAGCCTCAATTTATTTATTTATTATTATTTGGACATGATACACAGTTGTACAAAAGAAATACAGTGGTTGAGTGTACATGCCACTGAAATGGTTAAGAATGATTCAAAGAATTCTTACAAATACTGTACCTATTTTTATTTGTAGGTTTTGGGTTCTTAGAAGTGGACTTCTTAGAGAGATTTTCACTGCTCTCAAGTTTTTCCTGAATACGCTTCATGGAAAACATCGTCTACAGCCACTTAAGCAGCAACTTCTACAGAATCAGCAGAAAAGAGCAATGGAAAAATTATTAACATAGGCAATATTTATTTTTACATTAGCCATTCAGCTAATCACGTTGAGCAAATGTTCACTTTCCTAATATCACTAATGATTCTTCACCGGTAAGTCTCCCAACTTAAAATAAAATCTCTAAACACAATACAGCTCTGAGCTTTTTTTCTACTCTTTCAAGCCACATTTCACCCTTGTCAATTAAAATAAATCTGTCCACTGACCATTTTTATTTGTAATAATAATATAATAAATAATAATAATAATATATAATAATAATAATAATAATAATAATAATAATAATAATAATAATAATAATAATAATAATAATAATAATAATAATAATAATAATAATAATAATAATAATAATAATCTTTACATCTACAACTACATAATACAATTACATGTATTACAGACCTATCTGACATCACAGGCATACTTTATAGATAGCACCTGGTTACACAGAGCATTTCGGGCAACTCAGGTTAATCCTGTTCTCCAGGATGTGACCCACGACAGTTGTCTAACACCCAGGTACCTACTTCTAGATGAACAAGGCCAACAGGTATTAAGAAACATGCCTACCATTTCACCTGTGCTGGGATCAATCCCCAGACCTTCAGTGTGGGTTAAGGATGCTATCAACCAAGCCACGAGCACCACAAATTTGAACATCAGTGTTAAAATAATAGAGAAGACAGAAAATTTTCAAGCATAGTAGTATTAAATGAAAATAATAATCTATGCAATTATCTCTACACAGTTTAATAAATAATACATTTTACTGAACACATCACACCCAGAATATCACAAATTAAAATTTACAGTGATGGTAACCTTGGACTTACAGTGGGTAGTGATGGATGCTGATGAGTAGTGATGGGCGGTGGTTCCAAAAGAAGTGAAAAAATAGGGTAGAGTGTGTGGAGTGTCTGAGAGGAAATAAGATAAGATTTGTTTGGATTTTTATCCTGGGGGGAGGGTTAGCCACTCAGGATAAACCAAGAAAGTCAGTGCATCATTGAGAGCTGTCTGTCTTATTTCTATTGGGGGGTCCTTTAATCTTGTCCCCCAGGATGCAACCCACACGTCAACTAGCACCCAGGTGCCTACTTACTGCTAAGTAAACAGGGGCAGCAAGTGTCTTAAGGAAATAAGCCCAATGTTTCCACCCTTGTCGGGGATCAAACCACAGACACTGAGTGTGTGAGGTGAGTGCATTACCAACCAAGACACAGGATACTGTAATAAGATTATTAGTGGTAAAAGTGGAGGTAGTCTATAGACAAGAGAACAGAGAAGCACTGTAAGAGGGCTAATGGTCAACATGGTTTTTATCTGACATACAAGAACATCAACTGGGACCAGGTAAACCATGTCCTAAACGAAACATGTTGGGAAGATGTCTTAAATGACATGGATCCAAACCAGTGCCTTGAAAGGATCAACTTCCTGGTAGCCGAAGCATGTTCTAGGCATATTCCCCTAAGAAAGAAGAAGAGCAGGAGTAAACTGGAGAGAAAAAGACGCTCCCTCTACAGAAGACGACGAAGAGTCACTGAGCTCCTAGAATATCTGATACACGAAAGGAGGCGCTGACCAGGGAAGTGGAAACTATCGAACTTAAGCTAAATGACTCTTACAGGAACCAGGAGAGGCAGGAGGAGCTTAAAGCTATTAGTGAAATTGAAAGAAATTCAAAATATTTCTTTTCATATGCCAAAAACAAGGCAAATACCACATCTAGTATCGGGCCCTTACTCAGACAGGATGGGACTTACACAGATGACAACAAGGAAATGAGTGAAATATTGAAATCCCAGTACGACTCTGTGCTTAGTGAACCACTAATCGGTCTGAGGATCAACGACCCAAATGATTTCTTCATGAATGAGCCTCAAAACTCCATAAATGTATGCCAGATTTCCGACATTACCCTAACTCCGATAGATTTTGAAAAAGCCATTGACAACATGCCTATGCACTCAGCCCCGGGCCCAGACTCGTGGAACTCTGTTTTCATTAAGAACTGCAAGAAACCCCTCTCGCGTGCCCTAAGTACACTATGGAGGAGGAGCTTGGACATGGGTGAAATTCCACAGTCACTTAAAAACAACGGATATAGCCCCACTCCATAAAGGTGGCAGCAAAGCATTAGCTAAGAACTATAGACAATAGCTCTGACGTCCCACATCATAAAAATCTTTGAAAGAGTGCTAAGAAGCAGGATTGCAAATCACAGGGATTCCCAAAATCTGCACAATCCAAGGCAACATGGGTTCAGGGCAGGTCGCTCCTGCCTCTCACAACTACTGGATCACTATGACATGGCCTTGGATGCACTGGAAGAAAATCAGAATGCAGATGTAATATACACAGACTTTGCAAAAGCATTTGACAAATGTGATCATGGCGTAATAGCCCATAAAATACGTGCTAAAGGAATAACTGGGAAAGTGGGGAGATGGATCTTCAACTTCCTAACAAATCGAACACAAAGAGTAGTGGTCAACAGAGTTAAATCAGAGGCTGCCATAGTGAAGAGCTCTGTTCCACAAGGCACAGTACTCGCCCCCATCTTATTCCTTATCCTCATATCAGACATAAACAGAGATATACACCACAGCACTGTATCATCCTTTGCGGATGATACTAGGATCTGCATGAGGCTGTCATCTGCTGAGGACGCGGTTAACCTCCAAGAAGATATAAACAAAGTTTTCCAGTGGGCAACGGTAAACAATATGATGTTCAATGAGGACAAATTCCAACTACTCCGTTATGGAAAACTGGAGGAGATAATAACTAGAACAGAGTATACTACTGACTCCGGCCATACAATAGAGCGGAAAAATAATGTAAGGGACCTGGGAGTAGTAATGTCTGAGGATCTCACTTTCAAGGATCACAACAGTGCCACGATCGCACGTGCAAAGAAAATGATAGGATGGATAATGAGAACTTTCAAAACGAGAGATGCCAAGCCCATGATGATCCTTTTCAAATCACTTGTTCTCTCTAGGCTGGAATACTGCTGTACATTAACATCGCCATTCAAAGCAGGTGAAATCGCAGATCTAGAGAGTGTACAGAGATCCTTTACTGCACGTATAAGTTCTGTCAAGCACCTTAACTACTGGGAACGCTTGGAAGCACTTGACTTGTACTCGTTGGAACGCAGGAGGGAGAGATATATCATAATCTACACTTGGAAAATCTTGGAAGGAATGGTCCCAAATCTGTACACAGAAATCACTCCCTACGAAAGTAAAAGACTGGGCAGGCGATGCAAAATGCCGCCAATAAAAAGTAGGGGCGCCATTGGTACACTAAGAGAAAACACCATAAGTGTCCGGGACCCAAAACTGTTCAACAGCCTCCCATCAAGCATTAGGGGAATTGCCAATAAACCCCTGGCTGCCTTCAAGAGAGAGCTGGACAGATACCTAAAGTCAGTGCCGGATCAGCCGGGCTGTGGCTCGTACGTTGGACTGCGTGCGGCCAGCAGTAACAGCCTAGTTGATCAGGCCCTGATCCATCGGGAGGCCTGGTCATGGACCGGGCCGCGGGGGCGTTGATCCCCGGAATAACCTCCAGGTAACCTCCAGGTACATCGCCATTCCACCACTCTGCTGTTAACACTATCCATTGTGGAGTAATTATAGCCTTGCATGTGGCACTGAGAAACCATTTATCTATCAAGCTGAACCAAGTCTGTTATAGCAATAATATCCATGCTTCCTGTATGTGAAATTAATCTTAGCTCATTTACATTATTTCTAACATTCCTACTAGTAGTATGGTAGACCGTCACTCACTGCTCTATGGGGCGCATAATAAACATATTAAACTGCTCTATTTTTTTTAATGAAATCAAACACAACACAATTTTACAAATTTTATAAAGGGTGCAAATAAGGAAGTACGGTTATAAGCACTCATTAATCGAAAAATTTGCGATTTAACCTTAAAAAGCCCAAATTTTAACGACAGGCACCCGGGGAAAAGTTTACCCCCGGGTTTAGTAAAAAATTAGTGAGCAAGTTACTTTTTAGTGTGAGTGGTGGGGCTTTTGTGCTACCATCTGGTTTGGTATTATACAACTATACCGGGGTACAAGTAAGGTACACATAATTTTTAATTTTTCATACATTGTGTAAGTTAAGTAATTTTGAAAAGTTGCAGTTTACAATTTTAGTATAGGCGCCCTCTGGCAAGACAGAAATGGAGTAAATGATGAATAAAGTTTTTTTCCTTTTTTCAGGCCCACTCTGTTTTTGGTGGGAAATTTTGGTGGGGTTTAAAAATACAAAAAAAAATTTTTTAAGAACCCAGTCATGATTTTAATTTTAAAAATTAAAGCGACTAAGAAACCCAAAAAACTGGGGAAAAATTGTGTACAAAAAAAGGGGGAAAACAATAGAAATAAAGTAAGAAATAGAAATAGAAAAAAAGGATCAACTTACAGAAATACTTAAAATAAAAATGTTTCCCTCTACAGGAAATCTTTCCCCCCCTTCCCCAGTTTTAAATTCTTTTAGATCCTTTTAAGGAAGATTCCTTAAATTTTGGTGAGGGGGCCCTTGATCTGGGGAAATTTAGATCGTGTTCCAGTCCCCCCAAATTTAAAGGGCCTGAATACCTTCCACCCCCCCCCCCACAGGCCTGAAATAATCCAAAACGGGTTTAGTGTTTCCCCCCCTTGTTTAAAAATAATAATAATTCATTCATTAGACCCCCTTTTTGGGTTTTTTTTTCCTCTTCGTTCTTTTTTTTAATAAATTGTTTGGGTCCTATAACAGATTTTTTTTTTCTATAACTGAGGGGGCCCTGGCTGGAAAAAGCTCTAGTTTCCCCAGCTTGGGCGCTTCCTTTTGATTATAATAATAAAAAACCAAAGCTTTCACATACGGAGGGGGGGGTTTTCAAACCCCCGGCGGGGTAGAAAAAATTTCGACCCTTTTCCCCTTACACCGTCGTCCTGTTTACTAGCACAACTATTTTACCTAGGGTTAGTCGATTGGGGGGTCGCATCCGGGGGGGCAAAATTGAGGCCCCCAATGGAATTAAGACATCAGCCCCTCGATTACCCACTCCCTTTTTTGGGGTTTATCCTGGGTAGCCAACCCCCGGGAAAAAAAAAAATTTTCCAAGGAAATCTTACCTTATCCACAGAAAGTAAAGGGAATGTTTTTACATTAATTTTAAACTTTTGAAAGGTGGGGGGGTTGTTGTCTGGCCCCTTATTGTGTAAATCATTCTTTTTGTTGATTTATTATTGGCATTAATAAAAATTATGAAAAAATTTTTATTTTCAAAGGGACCAATGTACGGGGTTTTAAACAGCCCCTAGCTCATCAATGACATTACTATATAGAGAGCCGCTTTTTAAATCCCCAAAGATTTGGGGCCAAAATTTAGGTCATTTTTTGTCCCAGGATGCAAACCCCAAAACCAAACGACTAATACCCAGGTCCCCTATTTTAACGGGATAATAAAAAAAAAAATTTAAAAAAATTTTTTTTAAATTTCAAAAAAAAATACATGTACAAATATGGAAAACCCGGGAAAAAGGGAAACACGCCCAATTTTTTTTACCCTTCCCGGGAGAATCGCCCCCCGGGGAAACCCTCACTTTTGGGGGTTTCCCCCGGGCAAAAATAACCTAGTTGAGGAAAGGATGGGAATTTAGAGAGTAATACAAAAACAAGTAGTTTTTTGGTCTAAAATTACTTAGTAACTTCGGAGGGGATGCCAACTGATTTGGAGCCCTTTTTTTAAATGTGCTGGAAGTGGGTGTTAAATTTCAACTTGTCAAGGTAAAAGACCTAAAATTTTCCATTGGTTTGCCCCTTGAAAAGGGAAGAACCATTAGCTTTTTTATTTTTAAAGATGGACATTTGAGCTCAGTTCCCAAGCTTTAAAAGTAGGTTTTTTCCCAAAAAAAAAATTTGGGATTTATGTGGGGCCCAAATGTCTGCAATGAATTTTTTTTTTGAAGTGTGGGGTGATCTTTGGGTAAATTTTTTGAAGCTTTTAAAAACCGAAAAAACTTTATTATTTTTTGTGATAATTTTTAAATTATTTTAAAAAATTTTTAAAACGCTG